TCTCATTCGTCTTCAATTCACTACTATATCCACTCATTCTTACTCCAGCATTAGGAGCAAATAAGTTTGAAGCATTAGGAGCAAATAAGTTTAAAACATCAGAGAAAATACTATAATACTATAGTTAAGATTCTCAGCTTTATGATTCTCAGCTTCATGCACATAGTCAATATTTAAATTAGTATAAGGAGGACAAAAAACACTAAACTCAACACCAAATTAAAAATGAAAATCATAAAAGCCACAAATGGTTAATATCCTAGGAAATGGAAATATTAAAGATAAGGGAAAAAAATGTGGCAAAGGCAGGAAAATAAAAAAAGGTTAAAAAATAGTAGAAAGTAAAAAAGAAAGGATCAAATGGTAGATTAAAAAAATGGCACCTACTCCATAAAATCATTAACTTGTCTTCAAAGCTATCTTCATAATAATTAAATCCCTTATCACAATCCAAAATCAACTCAAACATGTATACATTATTTTCTTATAAACCCAATCCTTGAACATCTTCTAAGAATCAAACTGCATCATTTATACCTTTCCAACCAATGTCACGATCACACTCTAAATTAGTGAGAGATGATAATATACCAAGAATATGAGACACTATGTAATTATATCTTATGGAAGTTAGTGACAGTAACACACCAAAGATGGCTGTTGCACCAATATCATAACACCAAAAGGTAGAATCGTTAGCAACTTTAAGTGATATACTCCTAGATCGATGATGGTATAACATGGCAAAACAAGAGAATGTAATAAAAATTGAAAAAGAAGAATAAATTTAATGACTAAAATCTTAGATATAGCAAAAATTTAATACAGATCAAGATCTAAAAGAGAATAAAGGAATAAGAACAAAAGTATAATCCTAAACACTAAGTAAAGCATTATTAAAAACTTTTGCCCTCCAAGGACAAATTGCAATATAATTCACCTCCATCAATATGAGTATTTGGGATATAGGAATAGATATATTAATTGTGCTTATATATAGAAATAGATATAATAAATTTAACTATTTAACTATTTAAATAGACAATGTATATGCTATATTCTTATAATTAATATATTACCTAGGCATGTTGCATGTTCTTCTATGGGAGATAGTCATGTTCTAACGGAGGTTGATGTTGTTGCTGCCCAAGTTCATGGACAAGGGCGAGGATGTGGTCATAGCCATAATATCCACTATTAAGTGTGTGATGGAAAGTTGTCAGCGTTTTCCAAATTAGTGACTTTCATTTATTGGATGGAGACTTTGGCATCAACTACGTCCTCTTAATGTTGCTATAGTAGAAGGTCTGGACACGAAGATACTTTTGAGAAACAAAGAGTCACAAGGGTAGTAAAGGGTCTTTACGCAAATAAGTTAATAATCCCTCCATTAGAAGTATCTTTAAAGGGTTCACTCGACACTAGTTTATTTAGTGTTTACTTTCTAAGTTTATTTTTATAACAAAATATCCCATATTATTCTTTGTATTGATTGATAAAGGCTTGAGTTTATCTTCTATTGCTTTTTCTATTGCCATAAATTGCCATTTACATTTGGTCCTGTGGCAAAGCCAATTTTCATTTTTTATAGCAATAGTTATATATACACATGTGCACAAGATGAGGCGGACCTAATTGTGCATATGGGCAATTTTGAGCTTAAGGTGCAGTTATTGTGGGTGGTGTTAAGTCAAGTTTTTAATCTCATCCTTGGTATAGATTGGTTACGGCATAATAATGTTAAGTGTAACTTTAAAGATTTTCCCCCTTGTCTCATACTTTTTTATATTTTTTCCATTCCTCTCACTTTTATTCTTCTTTGTCCCTTTACTTCTACTTTTGCTTCCATCACTTTTATCTCTTTATTAATTCCTTTTATGTTTCTATGTTGTTCCTTTATTCCTTTTTCAAATCCCTCCAACAGTCTTTGTGTTGCAACGATTAATTCGTTTATGAAGGAGTACACCGATCTCTTTAAATTTGACCTATTATTTAGGTAAGATTGCAATACATCATCCTATTCTAACTAGGGATGTTTATCCAATCAAGGTTTTTATTCGTCGTTAGTTACCAAAAAAAATCATGATGAAACTTAATGGGAATATTCAATTCTGCATTGACTATCATTTGTTTAACAAAGTGACAATCTTAAATGTGTACCCTCTTCCTCACACTACTGATCTCTT